ATATGACGAAGAGAGGGAAAAAGATTCCTGGTTGCAGCTCAATTGAATCAATGGCATTGTGCACGAGTTGTGGCAAAGGAATGTTTACATCCACAGATCATCTCATTGTGAAATTCGGATGTGAATAAGGGTTTTTCTCAAATCACTAGATCTTTTGAGTACAATAACTCTTGTTGTACTCCCCCATTATTTCCTGAAATCTTGCCAAAAAGGCCTAGAAATGCCCTTCAATTCTAATCTGCAGTTTATGGCTCTCCAATTTGCGGGACAATGCATCAGCCACCTTGTTAGTGACACCAGACCTGTATGCAATCTCAAACTCGAAACCCAAAAGCTTGGCCAACAAATTTTGTTGATTTTGAGTGGTTATATGTTGTTCCAACAAATACCTCAAACTTCTTTGATCTATATGCACCATAGGTTTTGCCTCAACAAATATGGTCTCAATGTGAATAGAAAGAACCAAACCCATCAATTTCTTCTCATCTATATGCACCATAGGTATGTGAAGCCTTTTTTTACCAGCAAACCACTGACGGTTTCACCAACTTCCGGTGTTTTCTCAGCTAGCTTCCCTATGGTTTTTGCCATTTTCTGGGAATTGAAATACATTTCAACAGATTGACAGTTTTTGGGAGTAAGAATTTTAGTGTTGCGATCAGCAAATTGAGTGATAAGCTTCTGTTTGAGCCTGCCCATCTCATTAGCTTCCCCATGAACAAGAATTATGTTAGGAGGATTGAGCTCTTCTAAGAATGCACTTGTTTGAGCAGAGTCAGCGTGAGCAGAAAAGGAAATGTAGTGCACCTGCATGTTAAGTGGTGCAGTGAGTCCATTCATGAGAGTAACTTCCTTGGGTTCATTGATGATGGTTTTTGCCAATGTCCCTTCAACAACATACCCAGGTAAAACACAAGCATTTTTCTTATCAGAGCACCACATTTCAAACAGTTGCCGTGACAACCCACTCTGAAGTCCACCAGGACTTGCCATCACAACAGATGGTCCCACATCTTTGAAAACATCAATGCTACTTAAAGCTGATACGTGCTTGAAGGAAAAAGGATTCGACTTTGCATTCTTGACATGCTAGTGATTTTAAACGCTCGGTAACCTCTTAAGCGTTCGACCTGGATCAGAGGGTTTGTGTATGGTCGTTCGTCATACAGCGTTCGGTAGCAGATCCCGTATTGCCCGAGCGTCCAAAAGTAGTGGAGGCTGCGTTTTTAAATTTGTTTTTAAATTTGTCTGAGCATAACAGTGTAGAGGGACAACGGTCACGAAAGATAGAAAGTGAACGAACGGTCGTGCAGTGGGAGAGCCGAACGGTTGATAGTGTGCAGGACGAACGACATAAAGATATGGAGAATAGGAATGATCAGGACGAGTCGCGTCATGATAGAGATACGGGACGAGGGTAGAGTCCGAAAAGCCTACGTCTATGCAGAAACGCTCATCGCCAGGAGAACGAACGCTCGCCCTCTGGACGCAAAAGAGCACGCTCGTCCAGCGAACAGGGTTGACGCTCGTCCTTCAAGCAGAAATGGACGCTTGTCAGCGAGGACGCTCGTCCGGATCAGTGACCCCCCCCCCCCCCCCCTTTTTTATTTTTTTATTTTACACTCATGATGAAAATAAAATCTATTTGGGTCATTCCGGACGAAATTGGGTTGATACACAGGCTAAATAAGTGGGTAATTAGGTTAAACTTTTTCCACACAAATTGCGAACTTGGTACACCACACTCATTCAGGGGTGCCTAATGTGTTCTCCCTCATTCGTTGTCTTTGTGATTAATTTCGAAACAATTATTTGTCAATTTATTAACAAATTCGTCCCAATCCAACCTCAATTGGTAACGCTCCAGGTGTAGGACCAGAACTGGTACCAAGGCTAAATAGTGGGTACTTTGGTATAACTCTTTGCACAGACAGGCCAAGTATGGTACTTGGATAAAACGTTTTGTGCACATGAAAGTCAATTTAAGTACACACAAACTGAATTTTAACTACCAAATATATTTGCTCAACAATTTCTGAAATCAGATTGGATGTGCAACCATACATAAATATGAAATGTAACCAACACTATCTTTCATCAATATCCCCAACATTCTACAAAAGGCCTAAATCTCCAACACTTGACTTTCCTTTGCATGTGTTGTCCAATCCAAATCCATTGACAAACATATGCTCCCTAAATGTTGTAGTTCTCCTGCAAAGACAATAATGCACAAAACATGAATCGAATGCAACATTTGTATGAAAGATGCACAACATAGAAATTTTGACAGCTTACAGTTGTGTAATTGGGCATTGTGTTTCTTTCATATTTGTCAATGTCATCCCACAACTCCATAATTTTCAAAATAATTACTCCACAATCAAATCTACAACAAAACAAGTCCAACAACGCAAGTATGATATTTAACATATCATTATACAAGAAATATTATATTTACAAAATCAACATTACAAACATACTTGTTTGGTTGGATTGGATATGCAACTGTTGTCCCTCAAATGATGGTTTCTTGTCTTCCGAAAATTCAACCAAATGTCCAAAAAGCAATGCAAGATTATGTGCTTGGACATACTTCCCTTATAAATTTGTAATTACAAAGTAACATCAATTACTATACATACAATGACATTGTCAATCTTTTGTCGTTCTTTTCTTTTGTGCCCTAAAGATCCAGTGCAAACAGTCAAACAACAAATCTATGGAAGTCAAATACAATCCTGCGTACCTTCTTCCTTCTATCACGTCCTTACTTTGTTCACCAAGTTCCCATGACACTACACCACACAAAAAGTTAATTACATTACACCCACACAATCAAGTAAAAGAACAAAATGGAAATGATAACAAACATTGTCAGCATTTGTTAAAAGACAACCAAAAAGAACAAAATAATACTATTTATTAATTCATATCATTCGTGCCACATAAAAATACATTTTGTAAGACTCGTGGTACAGGAACAGAACTGTACCTAAGGCAAATTAACTGGGTACCTGGGTTCAAGTTTTAGCACACCGAGGCCAACAACGACCACCACACTAATTTGGGGTGCCTTCTTTATTTTCCCTCATTGATCTACTTCTACGTTATCTGGAACAATTTCTTAACAATTTTTTAACAAATTCGCTCCACATAAATACATTTCTAACACTCATGGAACAGGAACATAACTGGTACCTAGGCAGAATATGGTGGGTACCTGGGTTCCAATTTTTGCACACCAAGGCCAACTAGTCCACCACTCTTATTTTGGGGTGCCTTGTTTTTTCCCTCGTTTCAGCTACTTCTAATAATCTGGGAACAATTTCTTAACATTTTTTTAACAAATTCGTGTCACATAAAAAATACATTTTCTAGGACCCTGGGTCACCAACATAACTCGTACCAAAGTCGAATGAACTGGGTAATTGGGTTCAAGTTTTTTCACAGCAGGCCAACTAGGTTCACCACTCTCATTTTGAGGTGGCTTGTTTTTTTCACAGCAAGGCAACGCGGTCCATGACTATCAATCGAAAAAATTACACAACAAATGTAAGATTAAGCAAACAACAAGTATACAAATCATACACAACAAAATCCACTTGGGAGACATTTCATACATACACAAAACCATCCACAAACAACATCATCATGTATGAACCTTCATTCCACTGAAATCAAAAAAAAAACGAACCTTCACTGGTTGGAACACAGACGAAGATAAAGGTGGGGGACTGACAACCCGGAAAACCCCTCTTTTTGGTCCACCGAACAGTCCACAACCCGGCGATACTTCCGAGGCTCCGACTGGCACTCCGCCGGCACTCCGGGAACAGGGACGGAAGCACTGGGACGACGCGAGACCTTCAACGCGCCCCTAGTTCGCTGGGCCGGACCGGACGGAAGACATGCGTCTTCCCCTTCCTTCGCCAACGTCGAACCTGTGGCGACCGTGAATCGGAATCGCCTGGAGGGGTTCGATAGCTCCCAGACAGCCTTCAACGTTGTCCGGCGACACTCCGGCAAGCACTCCGTCGGACGTCTCTCTCTCCAACTCCCTTTCTCCAAGTCGTTCGGCCTCTCTAGGTTAGACTCTCTATCTCTGAACCTTCGCGCTTCTCTCTCTTAAATTGTTCCAAAATCAATTTCAAATTTGAAACGCGGACCTGCAAACCCTGACCACTCCCTTTCCACGTCATATTTCATTTTCATTTAATTTTTCCAACTGGACCACTCAAATTTAGACACGTGTGACGTGTCTAAATGTTGTCAAAAGTGGTTGTTCAAGTATCATTTTCCAATGAATTTCAAATTTCAAACGCAACTTCTAACCCCTGGCCGGCCCTTGCCACATCAGATTTGAACAGCTTTTTCATTAAAAACGTGGACCGCTCACATTTAGACACGTGTCCCGTGTCTAAATGTTGTCAAATGAAGTTGTTCAAGTATCATTTTCCTAGAACGTCAATTTTCTTAAAACAAATAACACTTAATAAGAAAATATAAGAACGAACAGTTAAAAAAAACATTCCATTTTAATTTATTTAAATAATTACTTGAAATATTTGTTCATTTTTAATTATAACGTGGTAGAATATTGGATTTTAAAAGGAGGTATAGTTATATCAGTTATGGAATATTAGGTTTGATGAATAACAAGTAAATGTATTAATTCCAAGTTCAAAGTACGGTATCAAAAGAGATGAGATGAATAATAAGATAAGAAAACTTAAAATGTAGGACTCAAACTAGTATATGGATATTTGAAGGAATTTGAAACTAGCCTATACTCTCGAAAAAAATTTAGCAGTAAAATCTAAAAGATGTCACATGACATTAGACTGCACTTTTCTTGTTCCTGAAATTCTCCTTCATCATTGCAAATTTTTTCTTACACTGATTCACAGTCTTCCCAGGTACTGCTGTTGCAACTCGCTCCCACCTCTGGCTTGTTTCCTTTGGAAAGGCTTTTAAAGCTTGAACCAGTGCTCGTTCCTGCACTGCAGACCACACATCCTGTTCTGAACTTGAAGAAACTCCATTAGCAGATGCAGAGTTCTGATTATCTGTACTTTTGCTATGAGACTCTTCTGTGCTATTGGTTGAGGCAAGAGTTGATACACCTTCTAATTCTTCTCTGGTTGAAAGTGGAGACTCAATTGATTGTGCACCAGGTTTCCTTTTCTCAAGAAATGTGTCAAAAGCTTTTGATGAATCAGGTTTCTGGAGGAGTACAGTTTTAGTTGCCTTCATTATTTCTTCAACAGATCTTCCAGTGCCAATGTATTCTGAAATAACCTCCCACCTCCGTGAAGTTCCTTTGGGGTATTTCTGCATTCCTTTCCTCAGTAGATCAATCTCTTCTTTACTCCAAGGTTTCTCCTTCTTCTCAACGTTGCTTCGAGAAGCACTGCCATTAGCCTTGATTGAACCATTGGCATCTTTTTTATTGGTTTTTTCATCAGCCACCTCTTTCTTGGAGCTCATTGCATCTCTCAAAACACTTGCTTGCTCTAATAACACCTGTTTGCCTTCCATGTTTTCACAGAGACTCCTCATCTGCTCAATATCAAGAGACATGCAAAGCCCTTCTACATCATCATCAGAAATATCAAGTAAACGCTGGGATATAATAGGTCCTGAAAGTGTTCTAAGGCGAGCTCGCTCCTTCCGCAAAAGCTTTTTCTCTTTCTCTTTCACCTTCTTTTGTTGTAAAGCAGCTTCTGCAGCTTGTCTCTCTTCCTCCTCTTTTCGTTGCTTCTCTTCCTCTGCAATTCTGGCTGCTTCTTCTTCCTGCAATTTCTTCACCAGGTACTTAGCCTCCTTTTTCCTTTGTTTCTCAGCTTTTTCTTCTTCCTTTCTTCTCAATATTCTGGGGTCCCTCTTATAAGCATTATCAACAAGAGTGCGAATCCGGGCATAGTCTTCCTTCCTAGCTTTTTCTGTCAATTTTGCATTTTGCCTTTCCATCCACCTCTTGTGGTCTCGAGATTCAGCTTGCTCGAGATCAAACTCATCAGCATGAGGAAACTCCCTCCAACTTTTAAAGGAGTACCAAAAATTGTAGAAATTATCAACTTCTTTTAATGTAGTATTATC